AGAGAGAGAGAGAGAGAGAGAGAGAGAGAGAGAGAGAGAGAGAGAGGGAGGGAGGGAGGGAGAGATTTAATTTTAAGAAATAAGGCCAAAATTCTCAACATTTAAAATTACGGCCTCAAGATACCAATTGAAGGAGACTAATTTTCTGTAAGCATTTTGCAAACCACAAATACTGTACCTAGACAGATTGTACCCAGGGTCTGAACGTAAAATTAATAATAAAAAAAGAAATCTCGAAAGTCCTCGAAGAGGGATTTTTTAAAGCCTATGACATACAGGAAAACTGAAATGAATGATAGTTGACTTCTCATGAGGAATAGTGAGAACTACAAAGAGGTAAATAGAAAGTCATATTTTAAAAAACTGAAAAAGCCCAACAAACTTAGAATACTATATTTAATGAAAATACCTTTCAAATGCAGGCAAATTAAGATATTTGTAGACAATCAGATCTGGGGGGATGTGAGGCTGGAAGACATGCCACAAAAGGAAGTGGCACTAGAGGGAAATTTGAATGCACAGTAAATGCTGAAGAACGCTAGTGCCTGAATGTGTCCAGATGTAAAAGACTAGCTCTTTTTCTAACTTGTGTAACAGGTATCTGCATGGTTAGGATAAAAATTGCATTATGGGTTTACAACTAAAGTAGAACTAAAATTTTTTGAATGTATAACAAAAATGAGTGATAACTGCACTGCTTTAGAGTTTTATTTATATCTTATGTAGGTGTCATAGCATTAATTTTAATTAGAATGTAGTAAATTAAGGGTACAGATTATATTCTCTAGAGTGGTCTTTCTGAATCGGTGGCAGGAAGTGTTGAAATATTTACAAAAAATGTTGCTATTTTCATCTTCTATATTCTCACAGGGTTAGTATACAGTTAGTTCTACTATAGCTACATAAGAGGAAAATTCATTGTACATAATGAATGCTTTAGGTTTTATGTCACTTTTTTCATAAAACATGGCTGAGAAAAATCTACATTAAGTCAAAAGCAAACAACACATTCTACTCTTACCCCATGTAATTTTCCTAAACAATATCATCCTTGTCTACAGTTTCACCTGTTATGCATATCTTCCAAATATTTAACAGTAGTAATTATCTTTCTGTAAGAAGTAAATCTTGTCTTATGTACTTCACTATTTTGTATTAACTATTAAATTATAACCTGTGCTAGTTTCACCTCAAAGTCCACATATATAAAACATGTTGTGTCTGGGGGCTAGGGGTTTAGCTCAGCGGCAAAAGAGCCTGCCTCGCAAGCGCAAGGTTGTGAGTTCAGTTCCCGGTACCGGAGAAAAACCAAAAAAAAAAAAAAAAAAAAAAAAAAATGGTGTGTCATTTCCTTCTCCAGCTGTACTAGGGTTGAGCTTCTGGGTTCAGGGAATGATAATATTTCCAATGTGTTGCACCAAGGCAGCACCCTTCACTCACCCCGCACCATCCTTCATCTGGAATCTCACCATGCCCGTGGGAGAAAGGCCTGGGTCACCTCCAAGGTGCTGAGGAGTTACATTTCTATCATCTTCTGAAGTCATTAGGACCACAGTGCAGAGACATAAATGGGCTAATATAAAAGCTCTGTTTGTCTATTTGCCTCAGAATTATTAGAAACATGTTCATAACATGTGATATAATTTTTGTAGTGGACATGTGATAGTTAGCAGGAAAACCCTATCTGAAACATTTAGATGTATTCCCTCCTTCATACTCTTTGCAGTACTGAGAAAGGCTACAATGTCTTCCTTGAGATACCAAGAAAAACTCTTTAATGAGAACTTCTAAGGAAGCTGTTATGTTAACTTCAACATACTGTTTAATTGTTGTGTTAAATAAACCTACTTCATGGAGACACTTGAGGTTATTTTAATTCCCTACAAATTTCCTTCATCAGGCAAGTTACAAATTGATATTACCTTAGGTGGGAAGCAATAGATAATGAATGAGCTTATATGAAAGAACCTTCCAGAATGAGAGAGTATGCACCTTAAATCAATGTGTACATAACTGGGGTAGTTTACTAACATGATAAAGGATATTTACCTTGAGACAGAAACATTTTAACTGTATATATCTTATCCAGTTAGGTAACTGAATGCAGAAGAAAGGATAAGTGAATAAGAAGTAATTGAGGATATAGGTTCAACTCAATATAACTTGATTTTACTTCCTATCCTC